GGCAGGCTTGGAGGGGATAGGGATTTTGCTGCGCGACCGAACTGAAAAAAATGTGATAGTAAAACCGTAAGAAAAAATCCGTGGAAAAAAGTGCGTGGAATAAAACCGTTAAATGAGACGTGCGCAGGCGCGACAGTCGCATACACAAGCGAGTAGTGTATAATAAATACCTTTCTCTTTCTCCCTCTTTCTTTTCTTTCTCTCATCCCTCCTCTCTTTATTTTGTAATTATTTATATTTCTATGTAATTTTATGTTGTCAAACAAAAATAAAGAGACATATTTTGTTATTTTAATTGATAATTTGAATTACGATTTTATTTTTATTTTACGTAATTTATTATTTCCTAAAATACTGAATTTCCTAAATACTCTTCTGTACTTAAATAAAAACTAATCAGCAAAATTTAAGAGAAAAATCAAGAAAACCAACATAAAATTGAGCACGATTTTTTTTTTGCAAATTGTGTCGATTCCACATTAGCCGAAGGAACTTCGTTCCTACCTGATGTCCCACGACACCACATTTGCTTTTTTTTGTACAGAGGATATCAAATGTTTATCTAAATTATTGTAATTTGACATCCTAGCATTAATCTGTTCATTATAATCAGATATGAAATTTATTTGAAGAAGTTTCATTATTCTCAGGAAGTAATATGGTCTTATCAAATGGTAAACTTGTCCCTGAAAATTTAAAAGTTGGTATAAAGTTATCTTCAGTTAAAATATTTGCACTGAATGATGTCATTTGGAATGCATTGTGGTGAGGTCTGATAGATTTTAAAACTGCATTTGATTTTACACGCGTTCCATCGAGTAGCGATTTTAATATCTCTGGAGGTTGTCGCAAAGGTTCTAGTTATATTGTGCCAGCTGAGCAGCATAACCCTTCACATTCACCAATCCACTTTAATGCCTTACAATAATTAGAAATATTGAGCTATTGCATAGATTTTATCGCGGGCCTTGAGGCGCGGCTTGAGAGTGGAATCCAGAAATTCCGTAACGAAAAGAACCTGACACCCCCACTACGCCTACTATGTAGCTCGCGTTCAACACATTCACACGTTGTGCTTGTGTAGTGTTTGTGAATAAGCGCGCGGCGTGACGTCGCACTGCATGCGCATCATGAAAATTCTGTCCATCTCTCTCGCGCGCCTCTCTCTCTCATTAGCGCCTCTACAACAATCCCGATTCTGAAGGATAGCCGTCGGAGCACCATGGTTCCAGAGGAACGTGGATCTCCACGATGACCTGGAGCTCGACCCCGTCAGTAAGTATCTTCAGTCGGCATCGCTGCGCCACTTCGAGAAGACGGCACGACATGAGAACCCTCTTGTCGTGGCCGCTGGAAACTACATACCCGATCCGGTAGACCGAATGGTAAACAGTCGACCTCCTGATCCATTAACGGTGCTTTTAGGCACCACAAGCACCGGTCACCGTCCTCGTCGAACCCGTCGCTAGCGATGAAGGGCTCGACGAGCGAATTAACCCTCAGACACAGCCCACTCAGTTTCACGCTGGATCTTCTCAGTGGGTCGCGTTTCCGATCCGGTGGTAGATTCTGCGAAGCACTGCTCTTGCTAGGGTCAGTGTTAGCAACTCTCCGGTTTGAGCCCCGTGAGCTCACCTACACACGCTAGGGTAAGCTGACATAGCCTGTCAAGGCTATCAGCATAGGTAGGAAAAAAAAAAGCCTCCACAACGATTCTCATCATTAACGCCCCCACAACTGGTGTAGGGAGTCCAACACTTATATAAATATTAGCCTAACTATTAAGTACATGTATTTTCTACATGGATTTGTGGCGAAATTTGTGATTATAGATTTTTTTTTTTTTTGCTTAGATGTGTGGACGAGCTCACAGCCCACCTGGTGTTAAGTGGTTACTGGAGCTCATAGACACCTACAACGTAAATGCGCCCCACGCCTTGAGATATAGTTCTAAGGTCTCAGTATAGTCACAACGGCTGCCCCACCCTTCAAACCGAAACGCATTACTGCTTCACGGCAGAAATAGGCGGGGCGGTGGTACCTACCCGTGCGGACTCACAAGAGGTCCTACCACCAGTAACTACGCAAATTATAATTTTGCGGGTTTGATTTTTATTGCACGATGTTATTCCTTCACCGTGGAAGTCAATCGTGAACATTTGTTGAGTACGTATTTCATTAGAAAAATTGGTACCCGCCAGCGAGATTCGAGCACCGGTGCATCGCTCGATACGAATGCACCGGACGTCTTATTCTTTAGGCCACGACGACTTCGAGATGTATAAAATACAATCATAATAGTGTACAAACTTGCAATTCCAATTAATTATAGTCGAATTTCGACTACTGCGGGACCTCTAGTTGATATTAATTCGAAAACGTTACCTTTTAAAAAATAAACTCAAAGAATTCACGATCTAACATCAAGTTAATTCAAGTTAAACTACAAAATATATGTAGGTAAGACGCGCCACCGTAGTTCAACTACCGTGCAACTACCAACCGTGAGCATCGTCCATAGTTGCTGCTATTATCGTGACCGCTGAGTACTTACTTTTTATACAAAATATTAGTTTATACACTTGGCGGTTGATTACATTATCGTCTCGTTTGGGAATCCCGGACCGAGTGGTATAAACACGACCAAGGGCAACACATCTCTTGTTTTGTTCAAGTAATGCGTAGTTGCGAAAAAAACCCAGATAAGTGTACATCGCGTTAACGCGTGACCCCCGGCCCGCGCCCTGCAGGTTATCGGAGGCGCCCGGGACTCGGCCCGCAGCGAGCGAGCGTGTTAGCAACTGTAGTTCCCTCCCTTGATAGCTTCGACGGGGCAGGCAGACAGGTAGCTGTGACAAACAGACAGACCGACTCGCACATACAGCGACACGACTTCTAGCGGCTGGCTACAGAGCCACCGAGCGCTAAAACTAATTTCAAATTGATTACATGATTACAAAGTCATTGCGTCGATAACTTTGTTCAGAATACTCCGCGAAACCAAAATGACGTCGGGCACAGTGCATTCAACTTGAAGTAGGACAAGTCTTGTGCCGAGAAATGTGTTAAGCCTGAACTCCGGTATATTAGGTGCATTCGTCCTGGGGCGAAACCTCTCATCAAGTCGTTATTTTATTCAGAAAATATAATTACAAAAATAATGTATGTATTTATGATGAACACAAATCCTCTACGTTAATTGAGTATAACGTACAGGGCATACGCGTCAATACTATAATATGTGAAACATCACAGACTTAATTCGGCTTTAATAAACCCATTTTATTACACCCATAGAGTATAAAACATCGAATTATAAATCAAAAACTCAGTAATAAAATTAGATCGAGAATACATTCGGAAGGCAGCGGCTTGGCTCTGCCCCTGGCATTGCTGAAGTCTATGGACGACGGGAACCGCTCATCATCAGATGGGCCATATGCTCGTGCGCCTACCAGGTTAATAATAAAAAAAAAGAAGAAACATTTAAATCAACAGCGCACCACGTCTGCGATACTCGCAGATACTGTAGAGTAGGTCCCACACGGACACTGACACTAACAGTTGACATGCCTTACAACAGTTACAACAACTATTATACGGCCCATTTATTCCAAATCCGTTCGAGGTCTGTTAATTTACTATAAAATTAATAAGCTGTGTCGCAACACAGCCGTCGCACGCCAGCCGCAGCGAGAGCGAGCGAGCGAACTGACTAGCTGTCTCTGTTACTTTCTTGGAACTCGTCATCGTCTTGTTAAACGAATTCAAACTTTAAAACTTGCTCTATAAGAAATAGAAAGGTTTCTCGTGAGTACTAGTTAAAAGTTGTTAAGCCAAATAGAGTATTACGTAAACAGAAATAAGTCTAAAATTCATTATGTCTTGATTCATCGACGTGTAAATATTTTTTTAGCAAACTTATATCTGCGTTTCGAAGATCGGTTTCGCGGTGCGTTGCCGCCGAGATCTTGGAATCGCAGCAGCAAACAGACTCGGTTTTGTCCGACATCCGCATTAAGAAAAAAGTGTTGTCAGCGCTTGTAAAAAAATTATTAGTAACCATTTTAAGAAATTTATTAGTTACGCGATTGGTCACAGGGCCCACGGTCGACCGGGCGATTGTGGAGGTTTTTATTGCTTAAATGGGTGAACGAGCTCACGGCCCACCTAGTCTTAGGTGGCTACCGGAGCCCATAGACATCTATAACGTAAATCCCGATACCCACCTTGAGACATGAGATCTAAGGTCTCAGTTTTAGCAGCACAAGGGCTGCCTCACGCTTCAAACCGAAACGCATTATTGCCTCATGGCAGAAATAGGCAGGGTGGTGGTACCCAACCAAACGGACTCACGAGACGTCCTACTACCAGTGATAGTGGCAGCTGGATGAAGTCGCTCAGCCCCAGGGATGAAGATGAACTTTCGGACCGAAACACAAGACTGTACGCAGCGGAGAAGGGGCAGATGGCGGTCGCACCTTCCAGAGTATGCGTGACATCTGCTGCACTCTTGGGATCATTCTTCGAACCGCCTCTCTCACACGCTTTTTGTTATTCTCTCTGTTATATGTAATAGGACTCACTTCTCAAAAGATATGATTTAACAAAACAACTGGAATTGTTTTATTTTTACTTGAAAATATTTTTTATTACTTTTTTATCAATTTACGAGCAATATCGTGTCGGATTTTATAATAAAAAATTACAGGCATTTATTCATTGAAACATATTTATTTAATCATTGCTAAAGCATTGTTAATTAGCATAATTCTAAACGAAGAATCGCAAATTGCACGCAAAAGCGCATTGCAATTTGCGAGACATTCAATCTAAAATATATTAAAAAAAAACAAGTTAGGCTGTAAGGACTCAGTCCATTGCCTGCTTGCAAGAGCAAAACATTAAAAAAAAAAAAAAACAAGTTGTATTTAATGTTCGTCGAAACTACAAAAAAACTTGTTGAATTGGCAACCTCGCCGTTCGTGGTACATCACCAACACAAACAAATTACAAAACCAGTTCTGTGCAATCGCTGCGTGTTGGCGGTCAGTCGCGCCCTCCGTCCTGTCGAAATATCGCTTCAAAGTTATCGTTCAGTGCAGGATATTGTTACCGATTGTTACAGATGTGATAAACAGTGTCAATGTGCAGCGCCGCAATGGTTCCCGACATGTCAGGGGCCGACAAATAGGTTGGTCTCCATTCGGTTCGGTGTAGTGTTCGCGATCCGTGACTCGAATACAAAAGTAAACAGACTAGTTTCTGACGAAAAAACAATTATTAAAGAATCGTCTGTGTTGTGTTCAGTGCTGTGCCGTGGCTGTAGGATGGATAATTACGTTTACCAAGTACTACTGGGCAAGTAGCGTACATCGTTCGCGCAGCCCCGACGGGCTGGGTACTTATTTATCGAGGGGTGAAAGGGCATTTGGTTTAAGTGAGTGATTTATCTTTTCAATTAAAGTTGCGTTATATTTGGTATCAGCATCAATAGTTTGACGGTTTGAATTGAACTTCAATTACATATGTTTACTTCATTCAAATATCTACAAAAGTTTTTTTTTGTTATACTTATATCTTTTCCTAATTTTAAACTTTAAATGTCTTTCCCGTGAAGTTGCTAAAGCTAAAATGTCGTTTAAACCAAATAAGCCTTCCACCCCTCGATATAATATTTATACAGCTTTTATTATTTTGTATTTTATTTATTTTGTACAGAATTATTTTTCTAATACTATAATAAACCTTTTTCAATCAATACACGAATTCAATTTTGACAATTCAACGGACATTAGTTCAAACCACGAAAACCGCTGAATGAAATGATAATAATATGTTGTTGTATAATAACATTCGTGTATTATTATGTAGGTACCTTGTACATGCATTGATGCAATATGCATATGTGTATGTATGTATCTATGTATGTAGTACATGCGACATAATGTACACTCGCGCACGGCTCCTTCTGTTTGAGAACATATCGTTACTGAGTAATGGTTATCGTCAATGATTCGTTAATGGTGCTCCCCGGGACGCGGAGACTGCAGCAGATTCAACAGAGTCCCTGGAGGCAGCTGTGCCGCATGGCTGACGGACCAGCACACAGTAATCGCACCTTTAGCCGTCTGCCGTCTCGCTCTCCCCCCGTCCCCCGCGTACCCCGCGACCCTTCCCGAGAGAGTGCGGCCGCCAGTCACAATGATATTGTGATGACGCAGATTCACTTAAATATATAAACATCCATACATACTGCGTATTGCAGAGATAATATGTATACAGACAGTAAATGAAAGTAGTTCTCTGTCCGTCGGTGTCGGTGATGAACTAAATGTAGAAGGTAAAACATATTTAGTTGATATCAGACGAGAGCGTGTCCGCGGTGTGTACGGTCGCGCTGGTGCTGCTGCTTCATGAGCACCTTCCTGATGCAAGTCCCGAGAGCTCGCGTCTCGCGTCTCGTGTCGGACGGCATTTAGAGACCTCTTTCTCGAATGAAGTTAATTGGGGTTCAATTGAACTCATCAAAGCCGCAGGTTTCATATGACGAATGCAGCGGAGGTCGTTCGGAGCCTCTGTCAACGGAGGGACCTGGCTTTCTCTGTGTGTTCCACATTATCCCATTATCCCGTTTCTATCACCGCCCCGCCCGCGACTGGAGTAGAGCTCATCCACAGTGGACATGTGCCACATGTACCCGGGCGCGGCGCAGGGAGGCCCCGGGCATCTGCCGACGGACCTCCCGGGCGAGTGTACTATACGCATCACTCAGTGAACGAGTCGAGTCGTTCGTTCGTGTGCATTTTTAAACACCCTGTACCGGCAGGCGGCGGCGCGGCCGTATCGCGGCGCGGTTATCGCGACACGCCGCGCGCCGCCGCCTGCTCGCCAGATGTGACGCGGGGCGAGCGGCGGGGGGCGGGGGACGGGGGCGGGGGCGGCAATGTCAAACGATCATTACAAACAATACAGTAATGCGGAGCCATTGAACTGGTCCACTGGGCGAGGAAGGTTTTCTGGTACAGTGCCGTGCAAGTTTCAGAAGCCGCAAAACTATTGAGCCCGGTGATAATTCAATCTAAATGGTTCTTTTCGTTTCAGCCGTGACTTCAAAATGCTGATATTGTTGTTGCTGGCATTGGCATCGGTGTCGGCATGTCCGGAGCAGTGCTGGTGTACCGACGGCGAGGAGCTGAACTACCAGTGCAGCCGTCCCTCGACCAACTTGATTGTGGGCGCGCGGCCCAGGGACTATGTCAATATAGACTGCATGGTTAGTTAGAAGCCGGCGCCGGACTGCCTCCTCACCTCCGGGCTGCTGCCGCGGGGACTCCTCCCGTCAGTCGCCGGTCGTAGTGCTAAACGAATGATCTGGGGGCAGGGCGGCGAGCTGGTCTGCGCGGAGTTCCCCGAGATAGACACGCCCGCGACCACGCAGCTGCCGAGCCTCTCCCTGCGCGAGTGCTCGCTGCCGCCTCTCTCGTGTCTGCTGCAAAAGGTTCACGCCGAGGACGTGAAGACTGTCGTGTTCAAGAACGCCATCAACCCCCTGAACGCGGACGCCTTCAAGGGCCTGGGGATCACTGCGCTCATGATGTTTAATGCAGGTATTGAGGGAAGCACTAACGTTTGGGGGGATTATTGCTTGATTTATTGCGTCTGCCTATTTAGAGAGATAGGCAGACGACTTAATCTCTGCTGCCCACCGACACAGGCAGTACGGTGGGCGCGACCTGTCGCTACCTGCCACTGTCCACTATCGTCCATTTTAAATTCTCCACAATCCAATTTATTTCGTCTTGCAGGGGCTCAGACAACAGTCCCCGTGGACGTGCTGAGGAGTCTCCCGAAGCTGACGCACTTCCGGCTGAATGCCGGACGCAACATCACGCTCCACGCCAACATGTTCGCCAACACGCCGCCCCTCAAGTACTTGGAGCTGTCCGACGCCAAAATCACGGTGCTGCCGGACGACGCCTTCCTGGGGCTGAACGTGCTGGAGCAGCTCAACGTGTGGGGGAACGAGCTCGCCAACATCACGGCAGGAGCCTTCCGCGGTGAGGAACTTCCTGGAACCCATATACCACGCTAACCTCGAGAGTGCTCACAGAGCATCCCTACATCACTTCCGTCTCTCAGGTCTGCACAACGTGACGGTGCTCTCCCTGAACAAAAACCGCATCCAGGCGCTGCCGGCCGGCCTGTTCGCCAGCACGCCGCGCCTTCTCAACCTCACCATGATCAGTAACTCGTTCCGGTATCTCGACTCGGAGATCTTCCGAGGACTCGATCACATACAGGAGGTGGGTTTAAGAGGCTTATGACGAAAGGAAGATCTTCCACCGAGCGGGTGATACTGCTCGGTAGACCGACGGTCCGAATGTTGTTGTTCGGAACTTGTATATATGCGCTTTATCTTGAAAATGTCGTAAGCGAGATTCAGGCATCTGTCAATTATCTTGCGTTCTTACCCGCCACATGAGCATTCTCACACACGCTCAAGAATGAGCTGCGGACTGTGGTGCAGTACTGACCGGTCGGCCGTCAACTAGCCGGACTCCTGACGGACTGACGCTGTCTCCGCGCGTACTACCTGTTGCTTTTTAATTCCAGATCAAAATCTCTAACAACGTTCCGCTTACTCTCAAAGAGGCGGTGTTCTCGAACCTCCCGGCACTGAGGACGTTACAACTGGACCTCAGCTCGATCCGCGAGCTCCCGGAGGAGTTCATCAGCAACTCCCCGCTGCGGACCCTGTCGCTCGCGCGCAACCAGCTCCGAGCCCTGCCGCGGAGCGTGCTGCGGGGGCAGACGCAGCTGACGTCGCTGACCCTGAGCTACAACGCCGTGGCGGAGCTGGCCCCCGAGCTGTTCGCCGACCTGAGGGCGCTCGAGACCTTCGTCATGGACGGCAACGAGCTGCAGGTGTTGCCGGAGTACGTTTTTTTAAAAAAAATTTATTGCTTGGATGGGTGGACGAGTTCACAGCCCACTTGGTGTTAAGTGGTTACTGGAGTCCATAGACATCTACGACGTAAATGCGCCACCGCCCTTGAGATATTGATTTTTATTACACTCACAGTAGTGCACTCACATCGTTGTTCTGTTGCAGCTCGCTGTTCTCGGGGCTGAGGAACTTGACTACGGTCTCGTTGAGGAACAACAAGATCAGCGTCATCTCCATGAACACGTTCCAAGGGGCCACGTCCATCCGCACGCTGGATCTCTCTTACAATCGGCTGGCGTTTGCGCCGGACAGCCTCTACTCTCCGCTCAATCAACTGCACAAGCTGCAGACCCTGACCCTCGCCTGGAACAACATCACCTCCATCTACGACGACTGGCGATACGTGTTCGTGGAACTGGTGAAGCTGGACCTGTCCGGGAACGCCATCGGCGACCTCACGGTGAGTCCCGGCGGGGCTGCGGGCGGGGCGGGGGGGGCGGGGGGGGGGGGGGCGCTGTGCAAGTACCGCACTCACTAACACAACCCCCGACGTTTCCAGGACAGCGACCTGCACTTCTTTAGCGAGGGGGTGACGGTGGACCTGCAGCACAACAACGTCTCCACGGTCCTCATGTCCGGCGTGCTCCGCGCTGCCAACGCCACCGTGCTGCTGCAGCACAACCCTCTCGCGTGCGACTGCTCCCTGTACTCCCTGCTGGATTGGCTGGCTGGCGGCCCCCGCAGCCTCAGACTCGAGGTCGGCGACACCCGGTGCGCCGGGCCCGCGGAGCTCGGCGGGTACAGAGTGACGGACGTGCCCCCCGCGAGCCTGTACTGCGCCGTCCCGTGCGGGGGCTGCTCGTGCCGTCTGGTGCCGGGGCTGGACGCCGTGCAGGGGACCTGCGCGCGTGACGTCACCACGGTCGACCCTCAGACATACGGCGTCACCACCTTCTCCCTCCGCCTGCAGCACGCCGCCCCCCCCGCGCTGGCCGCCCTCCCGCCGTACGTGCGGAGCCTCGACCTGTCGGCCCTCAACCTGACGGAGCTCCCCTGCAACGTGTCCGAGTCTCTCACGCGACTGGATCTGTCCGACAACGCGCTGGCGGTGGCGCCGAGCTGCTTGTTGCGGCGCAACGTGACGGTCCGCCTGGCCGGGAACCCGCTGGCGTGCGACTGCCGCCACGCCGAGGAGGTGGCCCTGCTCGCGGCACACAGGCACCTGGTGGAGGACTACGAGAACGTGACCTGCGCCGGCCAGGAGAGGCTGGAGCAGGTGGACGCGGCGCGGCTGTGCGACGTGGTGGTGGCGGCGCTGGTGGGCGGCTGCCTGGCGGCGGCGGGCGCGCTGCTGGTGGCGGGCGTGGTGCTGTTCCACCGGTACCGGCTGGAGGTGCTGGCGTGGCTGCACGCCCGGCGGCCGCGCCCGCGCCGCGCCGCGCCCGCCGCGTGCCGCTACGACGTGCTGGTGTCGAGCGCGGAGGGGGAGGCGGCGTGGGGCGCGCGCGGGGTGCGGGCGGCGGAGCGCGGGGGGCTGCGCGCGTGCTGGCCGGAGCGCGACTGGGCGGCGGGGGAGCTGCTGCCGGCGCGCATCGCCGCGTCGCTGCACGACTGCCGCGCGGCGCTGCTGTTCGTCTCGCGGAGCTACATGGCGTCGCCGTGGTGCCGGCTCACGTTCCTGCTGGCGCAGGCTCGCGCGGCGCACGTGTCCTCGTTCCGCGTGGTGGTGGTGCTGCTGGAGGAGCCCGGCCCCGAGGAGCGGGAGCTGCGCGCCTACCTGGCGGCGCGGCCCCCGCTCAAGCCCGCGGACCCGCTGCTCTGGGAGAAGGTGCTGTACAAGCTGCGCCCGCGACGCGCCTCGCAGAAGAAGCTGTACCGGTCGCTCGTGAAGAACGGTCTCCAACTGCAGCTGGACGTGGAGGGGAAGCTCACCAACCCCGCCTTCGTCAAGGACCACGACTGACCGCTGTTGTCTTGCTACTCTAGATATTATTATAGTGGATACGTATACATTGATGACATACTTGTAGCTGGTCACACTCGGGTGTCCCTAATATTAGAAATTGTGTAAAAAAAAGAGAAAAAATCGATCCTGGATTTCAACAAGTATAGTTATATTTTACAACATCCAGGGTCCATCTCTTAGAATCTCTTCAGGATGCACTGAGGATAGACAGGAGTCAACTGTAACCCCGTGCCCCGTGCGTCCCAGTGTTATTATAACATATGTACAATGTTATTATTGTATAATATATAAAGTAAGCTTGTGAGTAGGTTTGAAGTGACAAGCTACAGTGATGGAATACGAAGCAGGAGTTCATATTCCTTCACTATATCTATATCCTCCGGTAGCTTGTCGGCTTGAACTGAACTAACAAATAGACCATGTAGCAGATACATATATAGCAGATCCTAGACACGGCATTGTACGACTAGTCAATAATTATTATCAAATAAATAAATAGGTATGTTCTCATCGGTGTTTCATTTCCTTGTTAACCTAGTGGCAGTGGCTGTGCGGGTACAAAGCAGTGCGAGGGTCATGAGGGAGCGCCTGGGCAGCCGGTGGAGGCGGACCGACTACACGATGACTGTAGCCAACGATCGTCCACGTGTTTGAAGTGAAACTTCTGTAGGATCGCTGAGAGTAAAGTTTGACTCGTGAAAAATTCGTTACGGCTAGAGAGAGAATATACAAGTTAGGAAGAGCGAGAGTGAGAGAGCAGACAGAGCGTCTCGCGACACGCTCGCCCGCGGAGAGAGGGGAGTCTACGGGCGCCGGCCACTAGAGGGCTCGTTATTAGTTTCGCATTGTTCCTGTAGATGGCAATAACATATCTTTTTAATTTTTATGGAAGGATAAGGGCTATGAAATAATTTATAATTTAATAATTATTATTCAATGGATCAGCTCGTCAAAAACTCAACGCTTTAGTGGATTTCTTTTTAAAAAACCGGGCCGTACAAAAATATCCTAAAGTTTCTTCGCATTTTTTAAGCGAATTCACATTTTTTAATATAGTTTATTTACATTTAACTAAAGTATGTAGGTATCATTTTGTTCGATAACTTTTTGTCTGATTCTGAAGAGACCGAAACAGGTGGAAATATGAAGGTGCAAGGTCAGGACTATACGGCGGATGCATCAACACCTCCCAGCCAAGCTCTCTTAATTATTGCGGAGTGGCTAAACATGTGTAAGGTCTAGCGTTATCATGATGAACAACCACACCCTGCTATGTCCGCCCGACGGCGGGTAACACACAACACAAACTACATAATAATAATAATAATGATAAAGCCTTTTATTTCCCATCACCTAAGTATTACATGTAAATATTCTTAAATATATAGTAATATGATTTTTACATTTTGATCTATTTTCAGTTTTTACACTTCTTTTTTATTTATTGTTGTTTATTTGATTTGCCTACATCAAACTTTTTCTTCGATAGGAACCCCTATTTGGGTATAGGCCTCCTCCAGCTTAATCCAATTTTCTTTGTTCTTAGCTCTTTTCATCCATTATTTTCCTTTTGTTTTAGCTGTCCCTATCTTGGCATTGAAGTTTCCCATTAACAGTACATTTTCACTAGCCTGCGCTTGCGCTTCTTGTAGTGACTCGTAAAATTTTATCGATTTTTCTTTAGAATCCTTTTCAGTTGGTGCATACACTTGAATTATTGATTGATATTATCATTTTGTTGAACTCCAGTTGAGGTATTGCAACTCTTTTAGATAAGTCTAAGAAGCTTACTAGATTATCAAAAATCCTACTTTACGCATGCCAGGTGTTTCTCCTTTAAAGCAGAATATAAAGTCTTGATGCTCTTCGATGCCACAGCCCATCCGTCTAACTTCAACTAAGCCTAATATTTTTCTAGTGAGTATACTAGTTCTATGTATCTTGTGGATGCTAACGATTTTACATTAAATGTTCCAATTTGTATTGATTTTTGAGGTACTGTTTTGCTTACTGGAGGGTTATGGTCATTTTCCCCCACGGGGACCAGCCGGCTTGGGGGAATGTTTTTCTTGGTTATTTTTTGCAGGTTTGTATTGTAATGATTGTTATTATTCCGGTTTCGAGTGTACGGTGATCGCTATACATTGGTTTTCCCTCTTAATGAGTTTGATTTTACGCGTGCCATGTATTCGTACGCATTAGTTGTGTTTACTTTCTTCGGAGCTACGTACAATTCATTTTCTTTTCGTGGTGTGCTGACATTGAGTGAAGAAGATGGGTCTCTTTTCCTTTTTTCTCGATTAGCATCCGTTTGGCCCTTGATTATTAGTTTATCTAATTTTAAGTATGCTATGTTACCCTTCCTTCGTTCCTCTTCAAACTTTGGTTGTAATGTTTTGCGTGCTTCTAATATTTCTTTAGTATAATCTTCCTTCACATAAATACCCTGGGGTAGTTTATTTTTGGACCTCATTATTGCCATTTTTCTCCAGTACGATACAAGGGATATTAAAATAGTTCGAGGCGTAGTTTTTATCTTTCCAATTCTATAGATATTCATAATTTCGTGCTCTTGTATGCTTAATCCAAGATGACAATTAAGTTTTTCAGATATGTATTTTACCAAACTTAACTCTTCTTGTTTGTTTTCCTTTATTCCAAAGAGTAGTATGTTAGTTTTCTTTTTAGCCATTTCCAGACCTTTGATTTTCTCCTTAAGTTCTTTGACTGAATTTTTAAGTTGTTTGTTTTCGTCGTCTATCATTTTAAATCGTTCATCAATTTGTTGCACTACATTTTTAGTTACAGCTTCTGTTATAGCGATAGTCTGTTGTTTCATTTGCTCTTGAATTTTTTCTAATAGTATTTGCATTTGATTATCCATTTTTCAGTGAAATTTTTTGTTTTACGATTTTTAGTAGATCGTTTTAAGATGATTCTGGTATAATTTTAAAGCAGATCTGGCAACCCCGATTATATAGTAACTTATTGTTTTCATGAAGTAGCCACACTTAAATTACTGTTTATCGATATGATTTTTCACTCTGTATTTATCAAAATAAATACCCTCAAAATAAAAATAAAAATAATAATCTCAAGAGGTTATTTTTTCATTTCTCATAATTAGGTTGCACATTAACACTGTTCACAAACTTTCTAGGTTTATTTTTATGTAAAGTATTATCTTGAATTGTGACTTTTTACACTTGATATATTTGAGTATTAAGGTAAAACTTGATATTATTTTAAGAGCAAACGAGTACACGTCTATATTATTCTGTCACCGGAACCGGAATCCACAAACTACATACAAAGATACAATTGATTATTTAAAAAAAAAAAAAACTTTGTAATCCGTACGGTGGACCCCCAGTTTCCTGGAACGCGTCGAAATTAAACATTACGCGGAATGGAGTGGCGACAATTAGGTCCGGTCGAAACATAATTAAAAAAATTCAAATATTTAATGAAATATAATTAATTACCCAACCCAGAATCAAACCCCAACTGTTTATATGCCAGACGATTTACTCTATGTTGCACTCCCCAAATCCACCTGCTTATTTAACTTCTTCCTATTCATACAGTCTTGACAGAGTGGTCGTGGTCATGCATCAGTCGGATCCTGCGATACCGATGCTCTCGCGATGCGACGCCATGTGGCACGATGTTTCGCAGAGTGAGAGCAAACATTTATGTTGGAGTGAGTCACAGATTTTATGAGGTCGGTCCATCGTGTTGGAGATCGTCCGCGAGATCTTTTGCCCTCGACTTTCCCGTGCACCACCAACCGCTCAATGGAGTCCTCATTACGAGTGATGTGCCCGAAGAACTTGAGGATTCGTAATTGGACTGTTGACGATAGTCTCTCCTTGATGTTGAGCTTTTTCAGGATCGAAATGTTGGTACGGTGCGCGGTCCACGGAATTCTGAGGAGACGTCTCCAACACCACATTTCCAGTGCGTCAATCTTACGACAGTCTTGCATCCTCAGCGTCCACGTCTCAGCCCCATACAGAAAGATTGGAAAGACCAGGCATCTCATTAACCGAACTTTTGTGTTTTTGGTTATTCTGCGGTCTCTCCAAATCTTTGTCAGCCTCTCAACTGAGGATCTTGTCACGGCGCAACGTCTTCGGATCTCATCTTCGCAGCCTCCAGCGTTGGTGATAGTGGAGCCTAGATATACATAGCTATTAACTACCTCGCATCCCGCTATATGTTGGACTTCCGGTTGGTTGATGTTAGCACGATCTACGATCATCATTTTGGTCTTATCACGATTGATCGCAAGTCCAAANATATGTTGGACTTCCGGTTGGTTGATGTTAGCACGATCTACGATCATCATTTTGGTCTTATCACGATTGATCGCAAGTCCAAAATCCAACGCTGTAGTCTCCAGCCGGCGAAGAAGCACCTCGATTTCGTCTCTGGTTGACGCCAAGAGGGTAGTATCATCGGCGTATCTCAAGTTTGATATTTTCCGACCACCAACGGATATTCTTATTTAACTACGTCCTTTCAATACTTAGGGTCTGACCACAGCCGAAATCTTCTCACAATCTTCTTCTTCGCTGTCCTCCACATAGTTCTGACTTTTTACATTCTTCATTCACAATTCAGTCTATTCCTCTATGGAATGCGCTCCCACTCAAAATAAGGTCGGCCACTACACGTGAAGCGTTTAAGACGAAGGTTCGAGAACTGTTCCTCAGAGAGTTAGCAGAGTCATCTAATTGATAATATTTGTTTATATAATGTGTTTTTATATGTACTTAGTCTGGCCATAAATACTGTTACAATTAAAAATTAACAAAATATTACATTTGAATTTGGTATCTGTCATTTTTATATGATTGCTCATTGAGTTTTCTCATAAACGCCATAAACCTAAGAGATAGATAGATAGAGTTTTCTCATTTTGGCGCCAATACATTGTACAATATTTTGCGATATTAAAATGGACTGGGGTGAAAAAGAGAACCGAATCGCTGTGATTGCATTACACAAAGTAGATATGAAGCCAAATGCAATTTTTAAAACTCTCCATACGCGTGGTATTAGTAAAATGTTTGTGTACCGGGCAATAGCCTATTAACAAATAGGTGCAATGAGACCTCCTCTGTTTGTGACAGAAAAAGATCTGGCCGTCCACGTAGTGTTCGTACGAAAAAGGTGGTCAAAGTAGTAAGAGAAAGAATTCGAAGAAATCCTGTCCGAAAGCAAAAGATTTTATCTCGGGAGATGAAGATAGTACATAGAACCATGTCGCGTATTTCAAAAGATGCCTTAGGACTTGCAGCCTATAAGAGACGTACTGGTCATTTCTTAACTGATAATTTAAAAGAGAATAGGGTGGTAAAATCGAAACAACTACTGAAGCAGTACGCAAAGGGAGGTCATAGAAATTTTTTTGTTTAGGGATGAGAACATTTTTACAATTAAGCAACAAACAAAATGACCATATTTATGCTCAAAGCTCTA